AAAGAAGAAAAAATAATAATTTAAAAACTGAAGTAAACCATTTTAAAACTCTGTTAATACTTTAATCATTGATCCAATGTTATATACTTAAAAGCATTTTTATTTACAAAGGTTTTTAAGAGACATCTGAGACAACATGAAACACAATAAGATCAGTGAACTAAGTGAAAGCATAAAACAAAGGGATGAAATCAAAGTGTTTTCTCATAAAGAACATAGAAACGATCCCTGAGATGTTCTCCTGTAACGTTCACAGATAAGAGTTTTGTCCCAGGCTAGYTGTTTCCAAGCTTTCTAAACAGAAACATTACTAAATAAAGGAAATAGACAGAGAAAAGGTCATCTCAAGTGCTGCTCAGTGACAAATTAAACACGTTTGAACTTCTGACAGGAAGTGAAACATCCTCCACTCACACATTAAACAGATCCAGCTGCTGGAAGGAGTCCTTCTTCCTACATTCAGCTTCCTGTTGCATACACAGTATACAGATCTGACTTCTCTCTGAAACATTTACATCTTTGTTTACCCTCTCCGGTCCTGCTCAGGTCTGTCCCAAAGACACACAGAAACAAAAATCCTCACCTCACTGGATCTCCTCAGACTGCAGGATGACAACAGGAAATCAAAGAGAGATGTGGACGAGAGAAGAAGTCTAAAACACGAGGCTAAAGCTTAAAATGAGGTGAACGATGTGTGTGTGGCACATCCTGGAGGTGGCAGCAGACAGAACCATCCCTCAGTTCTCGATCATTTCTGACAGCTCCTGCAGCAGATCATCCTCTCCGATGGCTGGATCCACATCTTCCTCCAGGTGATCGTCCGTGAACTGGTTGATGAGCTCCTCGAAGTCGTCGACAGCAGAGGAGGCGTCGGCGCTGGAGGAGGCACGAGACGCTGCTGTACTGGACCTCCTTGTCCTGGGCTGACTGGGACTTTTCAGGACCGGGCTGAAACACACACAACATGATCTGAAGAAATGTTTCAGCAGAAAGATGAAGATCTGGTTTTAAAGATCCTGCTCACAGGTGAAGGTCTCTGTGAGGGTTACCTTTGGGGGACGGCACAGAGCTCTTTGCCAGAGGTGATGCTGATGGCTGCTTTGTGTTTCTGGCTCTGAGTGAAGACCGGGACAGTCTGAAGATCCTCTGAGCTCAGAGCAGAGTCCTGCAGGCTGGTGGGACTACAGGTCCTGGCAGAGAGCAGCGGAGCCTCTGAGTCTGAGGCTGGGAACTCCTRGTAAGAAAACAAGAATGACTCCATGTTCTCTGTAAACATGACTGTTACTGTAGCTCATTAGTTACTCCTGCTAAAGCCCTCACAGGAGGAGGATCACAGGAGGAGGATGACAGGAGGAGGGTCACAGTTTACCCTGACCCAGCTCAAAGTGAGGAAACATGTCATGTCAGGTGTTCCTACCTGTGTGAGTGAACAGGGTTTCTCCTCCGGAGCTGCCGCGGTGCTCAGAGGTTTCACAGCAGCCACAGCAGAACATTCGGAGCCTCTCTTCTTGGCGCCGGGCTTCACCTGCACGGCAGGTTTCACCACAGACGGTCTCACGTTCAGTTTGGGCCTCACTGAAACCAGACGGACAGAAGACTCAGGCTCTGTTCTCAGGAAACGTCACCTCGCTCAACAAAAACAAGACCGAGTCTGAAACTGTTCACTCAACTCAAACCTTGGTCTAATCTGCATTTCTGCTGACATTCAACAGTTTGGATATTTGGCGGGGTGTCCTTTGGAGTTATTAGTAATCAATATCTTACCTGCAGCAGAAGCTTGTTATCAATTAGTAATTTTAGAGAATTTATTCCGATCAGGACCAAAACCAAAGCCCTGCCATTGYTCAGGGAGGGAGACCCAGCCCCTAACAGAACCGACCCACCTCTCACACAGTTGAAGGATTGTATTAATTACGGGAGTAAATCTTAGCCTTTATTTTCTTTTAAAGTACTCACAATAAGTGAATACTTTCTTGTGTATAACTGAACTATAAATTTTCCATCTTCTGTAATTTTGATTGAATAAAAAACAGAACTTTTGTTTTAAAATAAATACAAGTAATATTTCTGCTGTCAATCATTCTGTGTTCAAACCCGAACTGGGCCTGAAATGTTACTATCTGCTGCAGGTGAGATGCTGATAACGTAATGAATCGATGGTTTCTTTCAGTACCTTTGGAGACTTCAGGCTGTTGTGTGGTTCTGGTCTGCTGTGGTCTGTCACCAGCTGGGACTTCAGCAGCCTGCTGAGCTGCTCGGCTCAGTCTGGCTGAGGACTGTGGTGTGGGGGTGGAGGTGTTCCTGTCTGGAACCTCCCTGGAGCTGCTCTGGGACTCTGGGTGAGGAGGAGAACCCGGGCCCTCGGGGACTGAGGCCTCAGCTGTTGTATCAGGTGAAGCGGTCCTGATCTGAGGTGAGGTGAGTTTACTCATTTTCGGGGCTGCTGTAGAGGAGGTCACAGAAGGTTCTGGTGATGCTGGGCTGCTTTTAGCAGGAACTTTTCTCTTTAGGATTCCAGAGGCGGTCTGGTTCTGAGAGGCTTCAGCTGAGGGCAGAAGCTGCTCGCCTGTTTCCTGTTTTCGAAGGCGCTTCTCCCTCATGATCTCCTCAAAGCTCTTGACCTTGATGCTGTTGCTGGTCTGGAGAGACAGGAGAGTTTCCAACAGTCAACAACCAAACAACCGGGCCCTGATGGTCCTGACGGATCAAACCAGTCCCACCTACCTGAGGCGCAGCTGCTGAACCTTTGTTCTCTGTCCCATCAACACTTTTCTCTGGTGTGTCGTTATCTGTCAGGAGATGAACCTCAGGTCAGAAAAGCTTACAGTGGATCTGCTTCTTCAGCCCCACGGGGTTTTCATGATACATTTGCTCAAAACACCATACTGAAGTGTAACTGAGTGTTTCTCAGCTTTTACAAACTCTACTTAAATAATCTTGGTATCAGAATAAAACAACACTTTATCACAAGTTTAAGTATTAAAACAGCTGCTGTTGTTTCAGAGATATTGAGGATGGAACATAATTTATTTTCACTCTCACCTGAATAATGTTCTCATTAGACAGTATATAACC